TGTATATGTACTACTTAGGGTTCTAGGGCCGGGGTTTCGGGATATGTATATATATATATATATATATGTATCTCTCTCTCTCTCTCTCTCCCTCTCTAGGTTCTGGAATGGGATCCGCACAAGGGCTTTCGTTTTACAGAAACTCCCATCAATGCATCTTAATGTATTGTACCTAGGGGTTGGACAGGGTTGGGCGGCCGGCTTAATAAGTCGTTATAGTTAAGATTTTAGGGTCGGGGTTTTGGTAGAAGCTTGACCCTCACCTGAACCCAAGAGCTTAATAAGCTTTCGATCTCCGAGATCTATAGTATAATTATATATATAATATGATATGATATACCCCTACTAAACCCTACACTCGAAACTCTTGCAAGCCTGAATCCTGGAAGCAAAGAACCCCTAATGAACGCATGTGAACTCGAAATGGCAACTAATTAGTACTAGTCGATTCTGCAAAGATTGCTTGGGAAGGCTTCGATTTTTACTTACGATCGATAGCTTCAGGTTGGGCAACTTTAGCTTTTAGTCTCAAGGGCTTTAAAATACGATCGATCTAGGAATCCCAAATAATTAAACTCAACCATCAAAGTCCTGCACTTCGAAGGATCCCTTGACCTTGCTGGATTGCACCGCTTCGTTCGAGAACGTGAAGCCTTCGAAAGTCGGGATCTTATACTCCTCAAGGCCGTGGACATCGTTGGTTCGCACCAACCCCCGTGCCAGAGCCCATCTCCGAGCATTCGCAATCATACTCCTTAGGCAAATGAAACATCGATGGTATCAACTAGAGAGCCTATACAGTTTGTTGCAGGGCTTCGAAAGGTGCAGATGTGTGGCTCGTTCCACCCCTTTGGGCCAGAGAAATTTCATTCTCCCAACCGCCCTCAATCTCGTTCTCAGATGTTTGGGTCGAGATCTTGACCAGCTCCACCTCCACAGTCTTGAAGTCCCCGTGCTTCAACAGAAGCTCCCGAAGCTTTTCACTTCGAGTCGAAGCAATTGCTGATAAACCACCGCACAGTTAACCTATATGCAATCTTATAATGCATGCAAGCTTCGTCCCTGGGGATCCTTGAACATCGTCATCGCTTGCTCCGAACACTTCAATTCTCCCTTCTTGTTGGGCGTAAAGTACCGCTTCATCCTTGCAATACATTTGGGTGCACTTCTGGCTACACTGCAGGTCATTAATTATATTGCAGACTAGGCTCTTCCAGTAGGTACCATCTGCGTAGGCAGAGGAAGCAACAGATCTCGAGCTTGGGGTCGGGGAGGATGGTGGCACCTTCCCTGCAGAACCTATGACTGCAGCTGGCACAGCAGCATTGTGCGAGCCCCCGTTAGGAGCAGCAGCATTGCCACTAGGACGGGCCAAAGGGGACAAACTCTGAGTAGTTGCAAGTGATTCCACAGTTCCCAGGCGCACCAGCGAGGGCTTTCGGGGAGCACCCCCTTGCCCAGGCAAACCAGGCAGGAAATGGCCAGCAGCAGAGGCCTCTGAATGAACAACACCACCCATCACTCCTTCCGTGAGCAGGACAGATCCATATAGATCAGCACAGAGACCAAGGGAGAGAGAAGGGAGGGAGGGAGTCTAGAGTAAGAGGGAAGGACGGAGTTACAAAGTTAATTATATATGTATATATATATATATATATATATACTATAGAGAGCACGACTATCCGACGTGAGTTCATGATCCTTGCATATATATATATATATATATACACATATGTATATATAGACATTACACGATCTATGTTATATCAACTCACTAAATATATTAAACAAATATTATGCACTATGGAATGTAATACCTGGGATTTGGAGTACTAATAACTATATACAAATATATATATATATATATATATATATATATATATATATATATATATTTATATATTTATATATATAGATATTTTAATATAATTATATGGTACTATATATATATAATATAATATTCATAAATTATAATATATCTCGTAACGATCACGTTTCAAGCACATGGTGTAATATGCATGATGCAGATGCAATATTTAAGTTATATATATGTATTATGATCAATAAAAAGTAATCATATATGCATACATGTATATATATATATATATATTAAATATAACTATGATTTACATAGAGTGCACATCCTGCAACCATGCAGATCAAGAGCTGGTGATTTTAAGAAGGCCCGCGGTGTATATGCATGGTATATGCATGCTAGGGACTTTCCGAAAGAGTATATACTCCCATGCATATTCGAACTCATGCAGCAACGACGGATTGCAACATACCGGAACGGACATGTGCTAAGTGCATGGCAATATCATGTACACATGCATTACATACATATTATATATATATATATATATATATAGCATATATATATATATATATATATATATATATATATCAGAGGCCTGCAAAAAATGAAGCTCCACATGCTTCGGCTAGCATACATGTATTCATAATGAGTTGCACTTTTCGTGATCATATATATCATATAGTACACCACACAAATCGAATAACAGTCAACTACATTGCTACATCGATTGATGCATATACATGCGTGAATGCATACGTGCATACAACTGCACATACAACTATAATGCATGCAATGTACATATCTAATCATATGTGTTATATGTAAATATATACTTTATTGAGGCTGATTGTTCACAAACATACACTACAGCCACTTATCATACAGACATGTCGCGAGCAGGCTACCTCGTGTAATGCAACACTCGGACTCCTTCATTTTGGACTCGGTGGTTGAACGAAGTTTGGATGCTTAGCCGGAGCATGAAGCAGACAGCGAAGTTCAGAATATGTATCGCCACAGGAACAACAAAGCTGGTGACCTAGAGTAAAGAACCAGCAGGGAAGTATCGAGAAATGATAACAAAGGAACCGACAATGGCGACACATAAGCTGCTTCTCAAGTTAAAAGCTCGCCTCCACGCAGGGAGGGATGGGCGGGTGAAAAATTTTGACCGCGAACATGTCTGCCAGATATGCTTTGCGAGCTGCGAGCAAAAGTGGCTGTAGTATTCGATATCGAAAGCAAGTTCAAAGTGCAGCAGTTAGTTTGTAAACAGGTTTGAGTAAAACACAAATACCGTTCACAAACATACACTACAGCCACTTATCATACAGACATGTCGCGAGCAGGCTACCTCGTGTAATGCAACACTCGGACTCCTTCATTTTGGACTCGGTGGTTGAACGAAGTTTGGATGCTTAGCCGGAGCATGAAGCAGACAGCGAAGTTCAGAATATGTATCGCCAAGTATAAAGCTACCGAGTGCCAAGAAGGAGACCGAACGCTAATGTCCTAGCCCAAAGCCAGAACGTGTTTGGTTGACTGACGGCAACAGACAACATGCAAGCGACGCTACACTACGGCAGAGCCACCGCATCAGGAAATGATGCTCAGAAGTAACTTCGCACATGTGGGGCTTGTGCGCATGACAGGGCTTGCTCCCAACCTCTGAACCCGCAGGAAAATGACAGCCCACACCAACGGGGGAAGCCGAAGCAACCGCGCACCGCCAGCGGTACTGCCATGCAGGTTTGCTCTTTTTGTTTTTTTTTTTTTTTGCCCATGCTATTGACCAGCCCGCACCGACGGGGGAAGCAAAGCGACCGCGCGCCGTCGGCGGTACTGGTCCACAGGCTGAGGCTGAGATTGCAAGCATACGGAGGAGTGCGGCTGAAAGGATCTGGCGTGACGCTGTACCTCACCAGTAGGCATGGCATCAGCAGTCAGGTGGCTGCCAGAGTAGCTGAGTCGCCTCTGGCCAGAGGCGCACATCGGAACGGAAGTGCCACAAACGCTCAAGAGGTAGCCGAACCCGATTATCCAGAAGCCACTTAGAATCAAGTTGGGACACCCCGTCCCAGCGAGACAGCGTGTCTGCATCATCATTGGCAACGCCTGGCACATGCGCGACCTCAAGTGTGAGGCCCGACAGGGCTCCAAATGAAGCAATACGTTGCAAGAACATGCAAACAGGATACACTGTAGAAAACAGTTTGTTTATGGAAGATTCCGAGCCGGTGTTGTCGCTAAGTGTGGGCAAATGAATGCAAATGCGCCCCGTGGGCAGAACTGTAGATACAAGCACTAGCAGCGCGTGTTGTGCCAGGACCTCGTACGAAGTGATGTCACGCTGAGCCTGCAAATTCATCTGCAATCCCAAATCAAGGAAGTCTTGCACCACAAAGCTTTCGGAAAACCAAAGTAGCGGGCCCGCCTTTTCCAGAAGTGCAAAACCCCCGATGCCGATGCAGCTGCCTGATGCCATGGCATCGGCTGCTATCAAGAAAGGGGCAGCCACAAGAGCGCAATGCACGCATGCGGGGTGTGCAAATGGCCCAGCGCATCCAAAATTTCACAAACTCCGTGCTGGCGGCACTGAGTCTGCGCTTCTCAGTGCGTGGGTCCGCGATGCGAAGCCAGATCCTTTTCCCTGAGGGCTGCACAAGCTTGAGATCACACTTCCGATGCAATTCCACATGCTTAGCGGACAAGAGTTTGCCCCCTATCGGAATGCCAGAGCCAGCGGGGCTGCTCACGAAGTGCATTGAGCTGTCCAGGGCGGCCGGTAGGGACTGCCACAAGCCCGGATTCAAGCTGAAACTCGTTCCTAGCGGCCTGGCCAAATCGTTATACAAGGAGGACAACCAGGGTTTCAGGGCCGGAGCTATGTGCAGAATTGTTCGTTTGTAACCTAGTGCACGTAGTCCCAAGTAGAGTGTGTAGAGTAATCACGAGAACACATGAAACATGTGTGTGAACCGCGACACGGAGGCTTAAGGAAGTCAGCCCGCGAAGTGAGAAAAGTGTGTTTGAAAGTAGAGTGGGAAGGAAGGCTTGAGAAGCCTTTAGTTTCAACATGGTAGCGGAGCTCCCTGATTCAGACCTCTTGGGAGCGATGAAGCTATCACAGGAACAACAGGTAGCTGTCGCCATGGTTTCCTTGGCTTTGGCCTTTTCGCTGATGTGCCTGGCGAGAAGCTTTGTGAAAGAACTTGTGAAAAAGGAGACGGTGGAGCGCGTAGCTCCAGCTGAGGAAGAAGTGCCGGAACTCTGGTACTCACCTTACGGAGAGAAGACCCACACCTCAGGAAGATGTCATGGCCTCAGGAACGCAACCAGCGTACACCGAGTACTACCATGCAAGTACTGCTGTCCCGGCGGACTCCGATCCCGGGAACAACGCACCTTCGAGTACAAGAGAACCTTTTTGGAAGCAGCAGGAAAGTACCTTTGGCTAAAAGTCTTCATGGTTGTGGTTCTCATGGGCATGTCATGGTTCATGGTGTTTGAAGTGAACGAGACCTACGGCTACCCGTTGGCCACGAACCGCATGCTGAACTACAGGAACAAGGTCCTCAGCCTCGACAACAAGAACCCCAAGAAGAAGCATGTGATAAAGGAAATTACCCCAGCGGATGTTGTACCTGCCGGGAAGAGCCAAGAAGGTGATCACACAGAACTCTTCACGTTGTGGTCGCATCTACATGAGCCCAATACCAAACCGAGAACGAGAACGAGATCAACGTCACGAGCTACCTCAAGAAGACGAACGTGTACTCCGAGTTCTACAAGAACAGAAGTAAAGGAACAAAGTTGCAACTACAGTTTTCATGAAGGTGATGTCGCGGAGTATAACAAGAACCTAAAGAACGAAGAAGTGCCCCACGTGAACTACTACAAGAACCTTGTGTTTGAGTTGGTTTTGGAGTTTCAAGAGTACCTTGCGAAAGCAGGAAGAAGCCTTGAGCCCGTCGTGAGCTACGTCGTGCGCACGTGTCACCCAGTACTACTTCTACTTGGGACCCCGCTTGGTATGGTCACTTGGATCTACCTCTATTTTTGGGTCAGAGTTAAGCAAACAAAAAGAGAGCAGTTGAAGAAGAAAGTTTCGAGAAGGAAGTTGCACAGGTCAGTTTGCAGCGTTCTTTTCAAGAAGCGAGTCTGGTTGCATGTTGTGTTGCTTTACAGTCACATGCAGAGTGCAGTTGCAATGGAGGAAGCCTTGCAAAGGCTCACGGACCTTACTGCCCAAAACACACAACAGATACAAGCACTTGCCCAAGCAATGAACAGTCAGCAAGCGCAGGCAGGTACCGCTTCACAACAACTACAAGAACTCGCGCAGTCAGTTTCACAGCAGCAGAGAGTGATTACAGAAGCAACCCAAGCAACCAACACAGCACTGTCACAACAAGCAGAGCTTACTGCAAACGCGGTTGCAGCAACAGGAAAGCTTACAGCAGACGCAGTTACAGCACTGTCGCAGCACGCAGAGTCAAGAAGGCCAGGAGAGATCGACCTCCACAAGATGATCAAATCTCCAGAAGTCTTTGGCCCTACTACGTACAAGGAAGAGCGTGATGGTTTTCTAGAGTTTCGGTTGAAGCTGAGAAGTTGGATAGGCGCTCTCAACAACGACATCCTTGAGAAGATCAACGCAGTCGAGATGGATAGAAGAGAAGCATCATGGGATTGGAGCAAACTTACCCCAGGTGAACGAGTACTTTCAAGAAAGTTACATTCCATCCTCACCAGCTATACACGTGGCCGTCCTCTACGAACTCTAAAGCAAGTACCCAACGAGAACGGTTTCGAAGCATGGAGGTTGTTGGTGGAGGAACATCAGCCTCACAACCGTGCACGTTCTCTACAACTACTTAACGGAGTTCTTCACTACAGGTTCGACAAGCAAAGGTCAACACAAGAAAATATCCTGAAGTTTGAGGAGTTGATTGAAGAGTACGAGAGAGCGAGTGGAGACCTTGTTGCGGACGACATGAAGATCTCCATCATACTTGGAGGAACCGAAGGGAACATGAGACAACATCTTCTACTCAACCAGAAGGAGACCACAAAGTATGGAACACTACGACAGTACCTCCTCTCCTACGAGCAAGCAGCAAGGTGGACTACCACAGACCTCATCAACTCAGGAAAGGACCACCAAGGACAAGCAGACATGGATGTTTCACGAGTTGAATGGTGGAAAGGCAAAGGAAAGGACAAAGGGAAAGGAAAGAAAGGAAAAGGATTCGGCAAGTACAAAGGCAAAGGCTACAGCAAAGGAAAAGGAAAAGGAGAAAGCCAGTACTACTACAAAGGCCGAGGAAAAGGAAAAGGACGAGGAAAAGGAAAAGGAAAAGGCAGAGGCCGAGGATATGGCAAAGGCGGGGGAAAAGGCTACAGCAGCAAAGGAAAAGGTAAAGGCTACAACAACCCAGGAATTGGTGTTTGCCACTACTGCCAAAAGCCTGGACACTACGAAGCCAATTGCAGACTCAAGCAGAGAGACATGCAGCAGAACGTCAGGAACGCACAGGAGGAAGACGAACAAAGCGTCAGGACACAGCCTACCACAGTTCCAAGCAGTAGCGCTTCGGCAGCCACAACAACAAGAACTACAAGCGCGAAGTCTACAGCTAAGCCAACAGTTCGGCAGATCGCGATGTACCACATGGACAACGATCCCGTCACGTACCCTGAAGTTTTTGAACTTGACGAAGACGAAGAAGAGCTCGAGATCGAGTACTTTGGAAGAGTCTTGAGAGTGACGGAAGCTGAAGAGTTTGTTTTGTCAGAAGGAGAAGAGAGCGAAGAAGAGCAAGAAGATCCTCTACTAAACTGGTACCTTGGACGTGAAGCACTACCACCACAAGAAGTTCTTTCAGTACGCGTTGTAGAGGAAGAGTTTTTCCAGGAAAGTGATCTTCACCAAAGAATCGAAGTTATCCTGGATTCTGGCGCAGACGTTTCTCTTGTGCCCTCTTGGCTAGGAAAAGAAGGAACCCCTTTGAAGGTTCGCCCTTCGTCCATTCAGGACGCACAAGGAAAGGCAATAAAGACGGAAGGCAGAAGGATGCTGAACTTAACGTTCTTTGATGACGACGGAAGCTTTTGTCGCATCCAGGAAGCCTTCACCGTTGCCTCGGTGATCAACCCGCTGATGGCCATAGGCAAGCTGTTTCGAGAAGGCTGGGAGTTGCGAGTGAACGAAGAAGAAGGTATGTGTCTTACAGACGGAAGCTCAAGAATACCAGTGCATCTCCACAAGAACAGCTTGGCAGCCTACGCCTACGTACAAACTCCTTCAAGAAGCAGAAGTTACAGCAGCAACAACTACAAGATGGTTCGGACAGTTGTTCAGCTCAACAAGCACGTTCAGGAAGCAGTGAACAAAGAAGAACCTGGTTGGCACAACACAGACAGCATGGTGATCGTGAAGTACGCCACTCAAAGCAGCTACGAGAACCCATCTCTCATGTATAGCCCTACGCACTTTCCGTACAGAAGCACTTTGGTGAAAGAAGAGAGAGGATGGAGAGCAGTTGAAGTTTCAAGAAAGTACTCCGAGAAGGCAGACCCTTTTGAAGAGTTTGCAGAAGGAGAAAAGGAAGTGGTTACAGCCATTTCAGCAAAGCCAATTCCACTTTGGATCCTTGGCACCCCTTATGCAGCTGGAGACCGAGCAGAGCAAGAAAGTCATGGTCGTGACTACTGGAAAATGGACCTCGAGAAGGGAGAAGTTGTTCGTCACCACGTAGTACCGAGAACTGTACTGTTTGACCCGACAGGAGTTGCCAACTGTCCTGTCCTCCTTGGAGATCTTGAGAACAGCAGGTATACCCAAGGAGACTGCATCTACAGTACGGAGATCTACGAACACAGCGACGACTGGAGAGCAGACCGCCTACCTCTACGTGAACACTTTCGTTTGCCGTGGTTTGGTCAAACAAGGTTCCGTGTGAAGCCAGAAGTTGTTGAAGACCTAAAAGCAGAAGCTGCAGCAGAGGAGCTCAAGAAGAAGAAAGAAGAACACTACCAAAAGAAGGAAAACTCAGCAGCACCACCAGCAGCAGAAGAGAGCAAAGATGAGGAGATGAGAGAAGCACAAGCAGACCAAGAAGCACCACAAGAAGTTGTTGAAGTTTTGGAGGAAATCTTCTACCACGAAGGTGTCGAGTACACAGCGCAGAAAAGCAGTCTTAAGGAACTACAAGCACTTTGCAGAGAGTACAGAGTGAAGACAACAGGAAGCAAGAAGCAGCTCTTGAAGAGACTCGCCACAGCAGTCAGAGAAGAAAGGCTCAGCACGCAACACAAGGAACAACGGGAACACCACCAAGCATACCACCTAGCACCACCACAGGAACCAACGGAAGAGGAGAGAGCGTACCACAACTTGACGCACCTTCCGTATCAGCCTTGGTGTCCCCATTGCGTTGCTATGAAAGCACGAGAAGACAACCACAAGAAAGGATTGAGCAAGCCAAGCAGCTCTACGGATTCCGCGAAGCCCGTCATCAGTTTTGACTTTTGCTATACAAGCACCACAGGAAGTGAAGAGCCACCAGCAGTGACTCTTGTCGCTGTGGACAGCTGGAGCAAGGCAGTCTTGGCGGTGCCCTGCAAGAGGAAAGGAGGAGCAGGAAGCACAACGCATCTCGCGGAAGCACTCGTGCAGTTCACCACGCAGCTCGGGTACAACACCCTCGTTCTCAAAGCAGACAACGAGAACGCAGCCAAAGCACTCAAGGACAAAGTACAGAAAGTACGCAGCAGCCTTGGACTTTCTACAACACTACAGGAAAGCATTCCTTACGACCACGAAAGCAATGGAGCCGCAGAAAGAGCAACAATACAAACAGTACGGAGGCAAGCGAACACCATTCTCGATGAACTCAGAGAAAGAACACAGCTGGCATACCACACGAGCACGCAGTAGTAAGCTGGGCGTTTAGACACGCCTGCTGGCTACTCAACAGGTTCGCAGTGAGCAGCTCCACAGGAAGAACGCCACAGGAAGTTATCCACGGATACCCCTACTCAAGGAAACTTGTACCCTTTGGTACTGTTGTGATGGCGAAGAGGTTGAAGATCAAGAAGAAAGGTAACAGGATATGGAACGCAGGAATATTTTTAGGTAAGACAGAGCAAGACACATGGATCGTTGCACAGCCTGATGGCATACATATCACACGCAGCGTGAGACCACTACCAGAACAGTACGACTCCAACAACATAGAGGTCCATACCTGGAACCTCAACACGCCACTCCTTGGAGCAAGAGTACTTCCAGAGAAGAAGCAAAGACAACGACCACAGCTAAGCATCCTGCCCCCTGTTGCCGAGGAAGAACGCGAACAGCTCGAGAACGACGAGGCCGCTAGCGACCCTCCGAGTTCGGAGGACAGCAGTGAAGAGCAGCAACAAGCACTTGAAGACAGAGAGGAACAAAGTGAAGCCAGCAGCATGAGTGTGACGAGAGACAGGAAAAGAAGAGCTGAAGTTGATGACGAGACCCTTTTGGAGGAACTCAGAGCAGTTGAGCCACTTACAGCCTCAGCAGAAGCACTTTCAGCACCAGCTGAACCAAGAGCAGAAGCAAGCAAGCACAGCCTTGAGCCTGAGGAACCAAGCTCACCCAGCAAGCTACGAAAGCAAGTTAACAGAGCAGAGGAAGCAGACGGTTACCTCAACATGCCTCATGATGATGAAGTCTACGAAGCAGATGATGAGTTTGTGTACGAGTCAGAAGAAGAAGAAGAGGAGACAGAGAGTGAACCAACGGAAGTTTTTACCAAGGTCCCTGTCGAGTTCTTCGACGAGGAGAAAGGACCACCGAACGTGGATCCGGCTTTTCTTCAGAAGTTGGATGATGAAGCTACAGTCAAAGAAATCAAAAGGTTAACAAAGATGGGAGTTATTTCGTTGGTTTCTACGGATCCTCAGGAAGCAACTGAGAACGTACCTCTGGTAGATTCAGAGCAAGAACTTCACAAGTGGTTGACAACGAAGTTGGTGAAAGATTGGAGGTTCAGAGAAGCTACAGGTTTTGAAGCTGAAGAAGCCAAAGAAGGAACAACAAAGCCCAAGCAGATTCAAAGATGCTGGCAACGACGTGCCAGACTAGTAGCCAGAGAATACAAGACAGAAGGAAAAAGGGAAGATATATTTTCTCCTGCGACAAGCCCAGGAATCACAAAACTGGTGCCCATGTTGGCTCTCGCCAACCATTGGGCGATCTACAGTGTCGACGTGAAGGACGCGTTTCTACAAGTCCCTCAAAGAACACCTTGTTTGTGTCGAGTACCTGAAGAAGCAGCTCACGTTGTACAAGCAATGCAGGAACAACAAGAACGCAACCCTAGAACTTGGTGTTGGAAGTTAGGAAGAGTTTTGCCAGGTCAACGCGACGCATCCAGTCTTTGGTCAGACTTTTGTGATGGTCTTTTGGTGGAAGAGAAGTTTGAGCGTTGTACTGCAGTTCCAGCACTTTACCGTCTTCTACGGCAAGGAAAAGTGGTTGCAGTTTGCATTGTGCACGTAGATGACTTGCAGTTTGCAGGAAAGAAGGAAGTCATCGAACCAATCCTCAGGAACCTCAAGAAGAAAGTGAACCTACAAGTTGAAGGACCTCTTCTGAACGAGGAAGACTACGAGAAAGGATTTTCTGAGGAGACCGTGAAGTTTCTCAAAAGGAAGTACACGTACGAACAACATGAACTACGAGTACATAGCGATAGCAAGTACGTGAAGAAACTCGTGGAGATCCTCAAGCTGGAGAAGAAGAAGGCCAAGAACTCACCCTGCACACCGGCTAGTCAGGAACCTGACGTATCCCAAGAACTGGACGAGGAACACTCGAGAACGTACAGAATTTGTGTCGGCATTTTGCTGTACGTAGCGCACGACCGTCCGGACATTCAGTTCGCAGTACGTAGCCTCAGTACTGCCATGACGAAGCCAACGGAACGCAAGAGAAAGGAGTTGGAACACTTGGCGCTCTACCTCAAATTAAGGAACGTCAGACTACGCCGTTACGTACCACAGGAACAGCCCAGGAACGTCAGCTCTACGTCACCGCGCCGAAGAACCACAAGAACTACAAGAACCTCGAGAACAACCACGCGAACGTTTGCTGGAAGTTTTTAGCGACTCCGACTGGGCCGGAGACAAGCAGACTAGGAAGTCAGTGAGTTGCGCCATGTTCTACCTGGACGGTGCATACTTCTACAGCTACAGCAGGACACAGAAGTCGATAGCATTATCTTCAGCAGAAGCAGAATACATGGCACTTACTGGAGCAGCAAGCGAAGGAATAGGTTTACACGCAGCAGTTCGTTTCCTTACAGGAGAACGAGTACTACTCAAAGCATACACAGACAGTTCCGCATGCCGCGGAATCACAAACCGCCAAGGAACAGGAAGAGTCAAGCACCTACAGATTCGGTTACTTTGGCTACAAGCAGCAATACGTGAAGGCAAGCTTACTGTACACGCAGTTGGTACAAAGGAGAACACAGCAGACCTAGGAACAAAGCCTCTCAGCACGAAAAGAGTGAAGTTTCTCCTGAACATGATCGGCATGTGCAACAGCGAAGGAAGAGTTGGAGAGCAAGAGCGAGAGGAAGAAGAAAAGGCACAAGTGGTAAGAAGACTCGAGAAGATCATGAAGAACAAAAGCAGCATGTTGTTTGCACTTTCAAGTTTGTTTGGAAAGACTGAGGCAGTCTACGTACCTTTCGCCGCAGCTCAAGAAGTAGCAAGCCCACAAGAAGTCCCAAGCAGTCCTGGAAGCATGTCGCTTCTGGAAGTCCTGGTGACGCTCGCCATGGTGTGCATGGCAGCATGGTTTGTCGTGAACGAGATGAGAAAGCCGCAGCAGCACAAGAAGCCGAAGAGAGAAGAGAGGAGCAGTGGTGAAGAAGAGGAAAGCAGCTCAGGAAGCAGAAGTGGAGAGAAGGAGAAGAAGAAGAAGAACCGAAGGAAGAGAAGAGACGAAGCTCCTGCCGCTCAGGTGAACTACGACGTGGACTCCTTCGACGAGGCAAAGAAAGAAGTGACAGAGAGAGCAGAGACGCAGAGAAGTTGAAGAAGGTTGAGGAAAGCCTGGAGAAGGTAAAGGAGGAGTTCGGAAACCAAGAGACAGAGTTTGAGGAGACAGTGAAAAGGTTTTTGAAGAAGCAGAAGGAGGTGAAGGAAAAGGAAGACAAAGTTACAGAAAGAGAAGAGAAGTTAGAGAAAGACCAAGAGACCCTCCAAGAGCAAGCCAAGGTCTTAAGCGAGAAGGAGACAGCCCTTGAAGAAGCTGAGGAGAACGTCAAAGCAAAGGAAGCAGAGGTTGAAAAGAAGAAGAAAGAGGCAGAGAAGAAAGAGAGAAAAGCCCAGGAAAGAACCGCCGGCTACGACCAGGAGAGAGAAGAGTACGCCAAGAAGTACGTTGACGACGCGAAGAAGGACTTGGAGAGAGAGCTTAAAGTGCTAAAGCAAGAAGAGAAAGTAAGGAACCAGAAGCTCGACGACCTCCAGTACGACTACAAGAGCCTCAAGGACGACTACCACTACTTCAAAGGTTACTCACAGGAAGTGGACGCACTTCTACTTGCAGCTAAGGACAAGATCGTGAAGTACAAGAAGAAGGTCAAAAGCCTCAAGGAAACCTTAGGTGCAACCTTGTCTGGAAGCGAAGGTGAAGAAGAGACAGAAGAAGCGTACAAGAGCAAAGCAGAGGAAGAGAAAGAGAAGGCAGAGGCTAAGGCAAAAGAGGAAGAGAAGAAGAAAGGAAAAAGGCCAAAGCAGGTAGAGACAGAAGACCAAGAAGAGAAGCCGTCAAGCAACCAAGGAGACGAAACTACCGTCGACCCGAACGACATAGCCGAGTTCACACAGCTTGGCTACGTGTGGGAGTTCAACAAGAAGACGCAGGAGTACCGCGCGAAGTGTGAGGACAAGAAAGGAGCCCCAAGAATCAAGAACGCTCCGGTGAAAGGCCGCCTCCTTTGGAACAAGGTGACGGAGTGCTACAGGAAACACAACATTTGGTTTACAGACGGAAAGGAATTGGATAAATTCCTCGAGACCAAGGAGAACGAGAAGATCGAGGAAGAAGTGCAGCGACGCATCCACGCGAAAGGCAAGCACGACAACCAAGGAACGAAGGGAAAAGGCCCTTCCTGGGACGACGGACAGAACGACGGTTGGTGGTACAACGAGCAGTGGAACAACGAGAACTGGAACACCACCGACGACGGCAGCAACTGGTACGAGAACGCGAACCCGCACAACAAAGGCTACTGGCAGACGCCAGAAGAGTGGGCGCAGCAGAACCAGTGGGATCAGTGGACACCCAAAGGAAAGGGTAAAGGCAAGAAGTCCAAGAACTGGGTGCAGACCCAGTGAAAGGATCCCGAGAAGGGATGATCGAGCAGGTCAAGCAGTGAACGCTTGTACATATGTACATATCTAAGCAACGTAAGACTTGATGTATACTAGCACAAGAATTCATGTACAAAGTGTGAGCAAATGTATAGACGTAGCAAACTGGGGCAGTAAGCCTAGGTAAGCTACAACCTTCCAAAGTCTCACAAGAAGTTTCACAAAAGGCAGGCTAGGAAGGTACAAGGGCCAGAAGAGGCAAGAAGCCGGAGAAGCCAAGAACAAAGAGAAGAAGCCCGAAAGAAAAGCCCGTAGGCTACGTAAGGGCAGAAGGAAACCGGGGTACGGGCCTCCCCGCAAAGAGTCCATAGGCTGGACCTAACTAGAACGTAGCTGTACATACAGAGTAGGTTTTTCAAGAAGGCCAATGTACAGACATAGAAGGCCTAAGTAGCAACAGGGCAGGAGTGCAGCTAGGTAAAAGACCAAGAACAACGGAGACGAAAGTCCCTAGCAAAAGCACTGTACAGAAGCCCTAGCAGTTTCCAAGAACACCCTAGGAACCCGCAAGAACTTTCTGAGGCGGGGTGTTCGTTTGTAACCTAGTGCACGTAGTCCCAAGTAGAGTGTGTAGAGTAATCACGAGAACACATGAAACATGTGTGTGAACCGCGACACGGAGGCTTAAGGAAGTCAGCCCGCGAAGTGAGAAAAGTGTGTTTGAAAGTAGAGTGGGAAGGAAGGCTTGAGAAG